ATACAGGGAAAGGTAGAACCTCCACTGAATTGTTTCCAACCTGTCTGGATGGGGTTAATAAAAGGTGAGGGGGAAAGGACTCCTGTGGTTCAATAGGGAATGATTGCAATCAGGTCTGACAGTGAGTGTTGAAAAGGTAAATGTAAATGTTTGGTAACAAAAGGAGGGGAGGGGCTGATTTTGCAGTCAAGGAGCAGAGATCCCTGGAACCATCAAAGGAGAAAAGCAAAGTGTGAGACCCTGTCTGGGAAGGCAGGAGAGGCAGTGACATTATGAATGGGGGCAGAGGCAATGATGTGGACAGAAGGAGCTGTTGGGGACTCTGGACTCAGGGAGGGAGAGGGGTTGTGTGCTGACAGGCAAGGGGCAGGAGTATGGGGTGTACCCTTTGGGTGTTTGATCATGCACGCAGGGGATTGTGATCATTGCAATGAAACAAAGTACGATAGAATGGATATAAAGATAATGTTCACCCATGTAAACTAACACATAATTCACAATAAAAACTTAAAAAAAAAAAGAAGATGGAAGGGAAGAAAAACAGAAGGTAGAAGGAATACACAAAGAATTTGTCCATGTTCATCCATTTCAGGAGGTGATTTATTATCAAGAATTAATGGTATTGAAGGAACAAGTTCAAGCTGCACTGAGGTATTGGTGACAAACAAGGTTCAGGAATTGGTGGAATACCAATTGAGATGTTTCAGCAAATAGATGCCATACTACAAGTACTCACTTATCAATGCCAAAAGTTGCAGAAGACAGCTATCTGGCCAGCTGACTGGAAGAGATCCATATTTGTACCTATTCCAAAGAAAGGTGATTTAACAGAACGGGAAAATTGTTAAACAATTTCACTAATATTACATGCAAGTAAAACTTTGTTGAAGATAATAGGAGTCCTGGTGTGGTGCTGTAGATTAAGCATTGGATTGCTAACCACAAGGTCAACAATTCAAACCCACCAGCCACTCCTTAAAAATTCTATACAGGATCACTATGATTTGGAACTAACTGACTTGATTGCAGCAGAGTACATTGATAGGGAACTGCCCGAAATTCAAGTTGGATTCAGAAGAGCACATGGAACAAGGGATATCATTGTTGATGTCAGATGGATCTTGGCTAGAAAGTAGAAAATATTAGAAAGATGTTTACTTGTGTTCCATTGATGATACAAAGACATTCAACTTGTTTATGAGGAATCTCTACTTGGACTAAGAAGCAGTTGTTAAAACAGAACAAGAGAATACTGGTTTAATATACAATTCTATGCATCAAAATTGTGTCTTTTCCCAATACTAATTCAATATGTATGCTGAGCAAATAATCTGAGAAACTGAAAGCTGGACTATATGAAGAAAAATGTGGCTTTAGGATTGGAGGAAGATTCATTAATAATCTGTGGTATACAGATGGCACACTTTGCTTGCTGAAAGCAAAGGGGACATAAAGCATTTACTGATGGAGATCAAAGACTACAGCCTTCAATATGGATTACACCTCAACATAAAGAAAACAAAGAGCTTCACAACAGGACTAATGACTAACAACATGATAAATGGGAAAAAGATTTAAGTTGTCAGGAATGTCATTTTACTTGGATTCACAGTCAATGCCCATGGAAACAGCAGTCAAGAAATCAAATGATATATTACATTGGACAAATCTGCCCAAAGATCTCTTTAAAGGGTTCAAAAGCAAAGAGGTCATTTTGAAAACTAAGGTTTATCTGACCCAAGTCCTGGTATTTTCAGTCACATCGTATGCATATGAAACTGGACAATGAATAGGGAAAACTGAAGAATTGTTGTCTTAGAATTGTGGTTATGATGAAGAATCTCGATGTAGTATGAACTGCCAGCAGAATAAACAAATGTTTCTTAGAAGTCCTGCCAGAATGTTCCTTAGAAGTGAGGCTAGCCAGACTTTGTCTCATGTACTTTGAACATGCATCAAGAAGGACCAGTCTCTAGAGACAGACATCATGCTTTTTCTCCATAAATAGAGTATTAAGTAGAGGGCCAGCAAAAAAAGACGAAGACCCTCCAGGAGATGGATTGACACAGGGGCAGCGACAATGGGCTCAAACAGCAAAGACTGTGAGGATGGGACAGGCCCGGGCAGCGTTTTGTTCTATTGTCTGAGTATACATGGGGTCACTATGAGTCAGGATTGATTGATGAGCACCTAACAACAACAACAATATACTGGAAAAGCAAGAAGGTATGGCTTGGACAGCACACCTGGCTGGTCACTCAGGCAGTCAAAGGACAGGCACAAAACCTGTTTGGACTAGTCTCTCTCAGTGTTGCAACACTTGTTAAATATTTAGAATATCACTCCTGGAAATACCTATCTCAATTTTTCCTTCATTTCTCATTAACTTCAAATAAAAGCTAGTAAATGATTTTTTATACTTTACATAAGTGTATTCATTCACCTAGTTATTTCCCCGTTAAGATTTTGAATGGCTTTATCCACATTTTTAAAATAGCAAATGCTTATTTCTTTGCCCCAGATGTCATCTAAATGAAGATAAGTGTTCTTTGAAAAGCTGCAGTTCTGATTTTGTTTTTGGAGAAAATATGGTGGAAAGAGTTTTGGTAAGATTTTGGTAAATGATTCTGTTATACTGACATTTCAAATTTCTGAGATAAGTTAATTAAAATGATGTTAAAATGAAGTATAATCTTTAACACCTGCATTCAAAGACAAATTTTCTTTATTTAACCAGAAAGATTCTCTCAGGAAACATGTTCTAGCTGTTAGAATAGACACGAACCCACAGAGGAAAGAAACTGTATAATTATAATATCACTAACGATACGAACTTTTATATAGTTTTTTGACTTACATTAAACCAAAAATACCTAAGGAAATCCCAGAATTATCTGCAATAATTAGATAAGCTCAACTGCTGATGACATTTTAATAGAGATTTTTCAATGGCATTTTTTCATTAACAAACTACCTTTAAATTATTTGCCAGTTAATTCTCATTAATTCATTACTACTCTCCCCAGCAAGTTCTTACATGTGAAAAGCTAGTTTTAGGAGGGGCATCATAGTGCTTTATTTTCCTAGGGGAATATACTATACTTGCTGAGTGGAAACCCCTAATTATTATCACCATGATCCTTAGTTAGGCTAAAGGCCCCTGGTGGTGCCATGGGTTAAGCATTGGCTGTAACTGCAAGGTTCGCAGTTAAAAGCCACCAGCCATTCCTCAGGGAAAGATGAGACTGTCTGCTCCCATAAAGAACTGTAGTCTGGGAAATCCTAGGGAGCAGTTCTACTCTGTGCTAAGGTGGTACTATGAGTTGAAATTGACTTGACAGCAGAAATCTGATTGGTTGGGCAGAACAGATTCTGTGATGGGGAATTACACAACAATGAGGGAGCGGAGGTGTCTATGGCTCCATCTGCTCCATCCCCTTTTCATGTCCAGTCCACCTTTGACCCCAGCTTTAGGATCAGAATCTTGGTTGAGATAGTTCCAAGGTGGCTAGCTTGCTTTAGGATTATCAGTTACATGAGGAATCCTATGGAAGCTACCTAGATTTTAAACTATGTAAGGGCTCAGATTAACAAAAGGAACAGCTCATGAAACCAGTTTATTTCAAGACTGTAGAACTTTCACAGCCAGTCATTTTTAAGACTTGGTTTAGTCTAGAGTTGCCTCAGATTAGACGCCAGTTCCAAGAGTAATATTAGCTTTTTAACTTAGACTCATCCTTTGGTCACTCCCAAGATTTGACTGGGCCCTGGTGTGGTGTCATAAGATAAACACTGGATTGATGACTGAAAGATCAACAGTTTAGACCCACCATTTGCTCTCTGAAACCCTATACAGGGGCTCCATGAGTCAGAACTGACTCAATAGCACACAACAACAAAGATTAGGTCAACTTCTTGGATCTGACTCAGAATAGCCCATCCCTCCTCAGATTAGAGTTCCAGGCAATATATTTAGACATAACAAATTATATTTATATTCTTTTTTAGTTTGGCACAAGAGTAACCAAAGCTTCTGTAAAATGTCAGACACAAATAAGATGCTTTCCAACCTTTATAGCATCAACTTTAAAACTGAACCCAATTTGCCAAACATTTTTGAGTTTTTGTGGTCTATAACGCCCTGGTCTTAAATTTGAATGATGTAGCTTTAAAGACTTTCTTATGTCTAAATTTCAACACAGAACAATTAGATCAGAATCTAAGCTAAACTGAGTTGCCATCAGGTGATTCTAACATATGGCTAGGTTTGAAAAACATCAGGGTTAAGTAGTTACAAAAAGCTAAATGGTACCTAGAGATGCTTATGGTCTAGTAAGGGAAGACAGAGAAATGCCTATACCAATGTATCACATTTGGGATTACAGATTTAGTTAAGAGTCAGGTGTTCAAACCAACCAGACGCTCTGTGAGAGAACTATGTGGCAGTCTGCTTCAATAAGATTATAGCCTTGAAGCCCTATGGGGCAGTTCTAATCCTTCCTATAGGGTCACTTTGGGTTGGAGTTGACAGCAAGACAACTGGTTACACATTTGGTGTGAGGAAGCACTTATGGAGATTTTTTTCTTTAATTTGGATTATACAGGATCATGAGTTTCCTGTTCAAGTTGGTAATATTCTAAGGATAATAGGGTAATTTCAGGTTCTTAAGAGGAGAAGAGTCAATAAAATAGAGATTGATTGATTGATTGATTGATTGATTGATTGATTGATTAAAGGCATTGGTTCACTTGGTTGTTGTTGTTGTTGTTGGGTGCCATCGAGTCAGAACCGACTCATAGCGACCCCATGCACAGCAGAACGAAACAATGTCCAATCCTGGGCCAACGCCACCACCGCTGC